AGGTTTTGACTGCGTCTGTGGTAAGTTCGGTCTATAGAACGAGGAGGATGTTTATGAAGTGCGAATTTCTTTTTGATGCCAACGGAACGAACATCACCGAATGCTCCAGCTACGTGTACCTAGGTCGGGAAATCAATATGATGAACGATCTAGCTCCAGAGCTGAGCAGGAGGAAACGAGCGGCTTGGGGAGCGTACAAGAACATCGAGGGAGTAGTGAAGAAGACGAAGAACATCCGGCTCCGTGCCCACCTCTTCGATTCCGCTGTCCTTCCTGCCCTAACCTACGCCTCAGAGACTTGGACTCTGCGCAGGCAGGACGAGCATGCGGTCAGCGTTATCCAACGCGCTGTCGAGAGGACGATGCTAGGAGTAACCCTATACACGCAAGTGCAGAGGGGAATCCGGAGTTCGAACTACGCCAACGATCGAAGATCAGGGACGCTGCCGTTTTCGCCAAGGAATCGAAGATAAGGTGGGCCGGACACGTCATGCGATTTTGCGATGACCGTTGGACCAGAGCGGTTACCGACTGGATCCCTCGGGACGTCAAACGAACACCTGGACGACCGCCGGCCCGATGGTCAGACTTCTTCACGAAAGCTCTGAACGAAAGGAATGAAGGACTTCGTGTCCCTCGAGGAGGATCCACTGGACCACTCTTGCACGCGACAGGGACGAATGGAGACGTTGCTGGCGCCCGCTCGAGCAATTCGATGATCAACGGGACGACAGGTGATACAGGTGGATCTCCAAAACGATTTCCAGTACTTCGTCGCAATACTGTAAACGCAATGTTGTTAGACATGGTGCCGCTCGCACGAACCACAGCTCATAAACGCCTTTACTGCGTGTCGACGTGGCATGCCACTTTTCCAGCGCAAGCGAAAATTTGTTAGACACTGAAGAAAAATTCACCACATGAAATACCTTTTAGTTTGCGAAAAGGTTCATGAAGCTAATGAGGAGCGCGAATCTCTTCTTGTCACTACTTTTTCTTTCCTTCATCTTTTCACCTATAGTCTCAATTCAGAAGGCACTGTGTACCTTCGCTATCGTGATCCTGCATTGATGGTGCACCCTTGAAATAAATAGAGTGAAAAAGGCTCTCAAGCAGGGTCAAGCGTGCGTTGAGGAATCCTCGACATGTCACAGGGGGGGGGGGTCGTATTGGCCCGCTGGGAGAGATCGGGCCCGATTGATACAGTAGGATCATCATCGTCGGAGGACAAACATTAAGGATCGATCGATGCCAGGCCAGAGGATTTCCAATAACAATGTGATTCCGCCCACACAAAATCTTCGTGATTCAGAGGTGTCCGCTTAGCAATTCTTAGTTACTTGTCCTCGGTGATGATCCTGTTTTATCACCACACAAGTTAAAGAATCCGAAAATTCGCACGTTTTCCAAGGGATATTTTATCTTTCAAGTGAGTCCTCGAATCTGAAGGGATGTGAAGCACACGGCGCAGAGTGGGCCCAGTTGGTTGCGCGCGCTTCAGCTACGGCTCTCTTGAGAAAGAATCTTAATTCAGGAAAAATCAAGAGGATTCTGAAAGGTTCATGTGAAATTACAGGGAGGAGTACACCATTCAACAAGAAACGCAGCCTTCAGCGTCAAATTCACAAGCATGTAACCTTTAAAGTTGAGATACGCTAAACAATTTTACACTTTTGAAAGAGAAAAGCACGAGGATTTCGAATCTGCTCCTACTTTAGTATATAATCGCCCCTGAAAGGAGCTATAGTCGTTGAAATAGTGCCAATGTAGCGAAAAAGTACCTTTCGGCGGTACTCGGGCAAAAATCCTCAACGTGGCCATTTTTTAAATACTGGACGTATTTAGCAGTTTTCATTTGAATAGAGCAAATCTTCTAGTTTATGATGACGTATTAACTTTCAGATTGGATGAGTTTGAACGGAGTTATGGCTTTGGAAAGCGTAAAAACTCGCACTCATCACGAATTTTCCTCGTTAATTTTGCAAAAATCCTCAACGTGGCCATTTTTTAGTACTGGACGTATGAAGCTGCTTTAGCAACCGTTTGATAGAGAAAATCTTCTAGTTTTGTATGCCATATTAACTTTTTGAATTTGACGAAAATGAAGCAAGTTATGCTTCGGAAAGTGTAAAAACTCGTGCTCATCATGAATTTTCCTCGTTAATTGATCTAAATTTGTTATTTCTTATAAATTTTTGTAATTTCAATACTGATTAGAAAGAGCTCTTCACAAAACTCCCAAATCTGCTTTCAGATTGAAAATTCGTTCACTTTGAAGAAAGTTATAATCATTTGAATATTTGTTCAAATTTCAATAGTAATAAGCTGCTCCACGGTCAACGCCAAAGATCAGTCAACACACAGCTGGCTAAGGCTTTCAACTGAAGGGGGACGTGTAAATTGAGAACCATATCTGTGTAGTACTAGAATTTAAGTCTTGTGGAGGAAATAAATAAAGAAGAGATGTTGTCATAGTATGCCATTTTTAGTGACTAGTTTGTCGTTTTTGCTCCGTTTCTCGTTTGCTCGTTTGGTAGGACTCATCAATAATGATCATTCTTTGACTTTTTCACTTTTGTACTTCTTAAACGAATTTTTTGGTGGACGGTGGGGTAGCAGGGCTTTTTATGAACAGTTTTGGGGAGAATTAAACAACCTTTTCATAGTTCGGCTTTTGAAAAGGGTCGTTTCGGCCTCTGGGGGAGGGAGGGGGGGGGGGGTCGTATTTCCAAATTTTCCTCGACGGTTCGCTTGACCCTGCTCTCAAGTCGTGTTTTTGATACTATATACTAAAGGGCTTTCCCATAATGCCATTCGCAGGACTTTCTTTTGAATGTGCATGCCTGGAGAGGAAATGCTGGAAGCATCAGGTGATCATAGCTGCAGTATATTTCACATGTGTTTTCGGATAAGAAGTTTGTAGAACTCACAACAACGCAGCCGGAGCAGCCCAAAAAGAAAAGACGAGGAGCACGCCAATATCGGCGAATAAGTGTGAAGTACAGATGTAGCCAAAGGCATTATGGAAAGAAGGTGTGCGATAGATCAGCACAATAGCTGAGACATTCGCCAATATTCCAATAAGGCCAATCTAAACTCGGTGTGGCAATGTTATTCAACAAGATCCAAATTTTTTGATAATTTTCAAGTGAATTATGCCATGAAACAGAAACTTCCTCAATACTGAATATTGCATACATATTATTCCAGACAAAATCTGCTCCAGTTACAAAGCATGTGTGGAAATCAATCGAGGAAATGCTTTTGTGTTCTTGTACCTAATATTATGCGAGTGCTGACTCAACATTTCCAAATCGCAGTTCCCAACCTCTTTTCGCTTCCTGGAGGCGGTGGGAATGCACGCGCTTAAGTCTCAGTGCCTTTTTCGGCCACTCATTCTTGTATTCATACGCTGCTTACAGCTTGATACTTCGGTTGCTGTTTGTAGGCAGGAGACGGGCCAAGCTTCACTGAAGGTGCCTTATGGTGGAGGTACTGAGTTCGCAACTGTAGAGCTTGCGACAACTTGAAACGTCTTTCCAAAGCGCCCAATGCCCACGATTTCAATCCACCGATGCCTGATCGAACCATACGCGCCCACCCGTTCGATATCTCCTCTGTGTCGTACTGGTTGTTTAGCTATGCTATTCCGACCGAAAGCTCTCTCCCCTCCGTGAATCACGTCTCTTGTTTCGTTGTCTTCCTCTCTCGTTAGGCTTCTCCGCAACGTAAAGCAAGGAGGTTTGTATTTTTTGCATTTTTGATGACACTTCCTTTTTTGTCTACTTATGGTCCATCTCGCGTTTCGGTTTTCGTATTGGAGTGAAATTGCCTTTTAAAATTCTATCTCGCCTGTAAGCTAGATTTTGAACACGAGTGGCTCTGGAAAGAGTACCCACGAGCTGATCTCCCCATACAATTGTATTAGGTGCTCATAGCCATTATTTTAATTTTATATTCCAATTCTATGAGATCTTATGAGTGCGTGAGCGCAATTTTGTTTTTAGCTTCGATGGAATAGAAAAAAGAACTGGACATTCAGAAAAATCTCCAGCCGCGTAGTGTCCTCTCCCTATTGTGCCAGAAATAGGTTTCGAGAGCAGCAGGCAGAGTCAAGTCAACAAGAACTTTGGCCGAGTCATGTTGAGTTGAATCGGTAGTGCCTTTGAGATGTGGTACAGCTAATATTAGAGCTAGAATAGCTTCCTTTACACATCTATCATAGTTCTTTGAGGTTCTGTCAACAAAATCAGACATGACGCGCAGTGAAGATTCAAAGAATATGGCCTTTTAAAGAAGTCGTTCATGGAAAAATCATGGTTTTATCTCGCCCTAAATACTGGTTTGAGGCCCATCATTCATGAGAAGAACGAAAATACCAGAAAAAGTGTTTGTAGGTGAACAATTCAGTACGGATTCTGCTACCTTCTAATTCTCGCCGTGCAGCGACTCCACTTTCTCAGAGTGTCTCTACTAAGAACTCTTTTGGCCTTTTCCGCTTATGGCGACAACATTTCTCCTTTCCAGTGCATCTTATACCATCGATCGTTTTGTCTATATTCTCCGAATTCGAACCCTTCAACCCGATCCTTTCGTGCGTCACCTTGTTTCCGCCCTACACGCCCTCGATAGTCTACGGAGTGTGGTCTCTTTTTCTCAGTCTTTCGCAAGTCTGCTACTCTTGGAAACTGGACCTTTTTGCATAAAGGATTAGAAGTTTTCTCTAGTGATCACAAGTGGCGTTTTTATTTTGGGGGATTAAATGCAAGAGTTCTCCGAAAACGACTCCTTCAGGCCAGGTAATACCGCAGAAAACCCAGTCACATCTGCCCACATGGCGGCGACGTTTAAGTTGCAGTGCCAAGGCTTCTATTACCTTCACTTCAAGACAACTGGTTAATCTCACCCAAGCGGCAACTAACTCTCCCGTTAGCGGGATCGAAGAAAATTTATTCCTCGTGTCTTCGCTCCTCTCGCTTCGTTTCCTCCCCACTGCACACCTTTACATATACCATCGACATGAAATTATTGAGACCCTTGCATTCGCCGAAATACTTGTTCTTGAGTTGTGCACGAGAAGGCAACTATAAGTTTTTTTATGATTGTTTCTTTCGAGGCGAGTGACGTGTATGATTATTTGCGCTAGACATCTTTAAAATCACAACCAGGAACCTATTCACATACTGGAGGGGATGCTATAATCACACAGCCGTCCTTCGGTACACGACACTGAAGCAGGGTGAATATCGCTTGAGGATTCCTCAACGGCACGTCGAGGATTCTCTGCCCGATCAGACACGATCTCTCGCGCGGACATTCACACTCGCCATGGCGTGCCGTCTGTGCTCTCCGCGCGGATGTTCACTCTCGGCACTACTCTCGCATGGTAGAGAGCTATGGTCGAGGAAATCCTCGACCGTTATTCACCCTGACTAAAGTGCTGCAGTGGCCGGTGCATTTATACGATACACAAATGCAGCGTTACACTCTACGTTCTAAACTGAACTTCTGTGGAAGCACTTGCAAGTTCTTTAAAGGAAGCGGCTACGATAAAGGGAGACACACTAGGGAAGCATATGCACCACACGAATCAGTTACTTGGCTGCCAGGGAAGCGAGGTGTAGCGCTTTCACGACGAAAGGTGCGCTGGTTGCTGAGCAGGACTTCGAAAGCACTCCGCCCCAAAAGCGATCCGCCCACTAGTTAGTTGGTGATTTGGACGAGCTGCGTTGCCAGCAGCTTCACAACTGGAGCAGCTCGACTGGAGCACGGATTGGCATGGTGCCATAGCGAGACCAATGGCTAATGAGGGGTTCCTCATTTAGGTGTTTTCTGACGAAGTTCTCTGCTTCTTTCGCTATTGTCGACCATTGAGCGTCCCCACGTCCCGTTTCAACCCCTCTGAAACCTATCGTATTAGCTGCCTGTGAGGATCAAGAGCAGCACAATACATACCGGAGGTGACAAGACACTTCGCCCATGGCGAACATCATCAAACTTTTCTCGTACAGAGTGCCGCTGCTGATAAAGGTTTTACGTCAAAATGCTCTTCGTATGTCTGAGTAGGAGCAGGCCATCCTCTTCAACCCTCATCGTCCTTATAGTGTGACGTTACCTTCCACCACCGTTTAGTTCAAAAAGGCCACTGTAATCGTTCCAGCCTGAAGCTGCTACGAAATTTCTTCATCGGATCACTGATTGATTCGCTTTCTAGGGATAGTAGCTCTGAATGTGCAAGACCCCTTCCGACCAGCCTTTCAGATAACGTCCAATGTTCTATGATCCGTCAAGTTCCCATGGCAAAGTCCTTGTGAATTCGTAGGTGCAGAAAGCTGGTATGGGTTTATTGATAGATTGGGATGTGCTTTTCGACATTAAATTGGGAACACCGATTTGAGATCAGCAAAAAGTAATTAATGCTGACTGAAACGTAGAGTGAAGTGTCTCTATTTTTTGGCCCCCCCTCCCCTGTATAAGCTCATGAACAAATGTTTGACAAACAGTGGGATGTGTCCAAACTCACTGATAAAATTATCGCTCCGGCAATCAATTGATCTAACCGATCCTGATAAGCGAGCACAGACATTGAAAGGTTAATATCTGAAAAGGACCGAATTTTATAGAGTCACAGAGTTGTAGTGAAAGTGTATGAGAATACGTATTAGTTTCAAAGCAATGATTTACTGAAGGCTGCGTGACAGTTGAAGGCCTGGCCCAACATCAATGGAAAGGCGGGCTCTTGCTTGAAACTCCGATCGGTGTAAACACTTATTTCACATTGGATTTAGGTGATATCATTATAATGAGATCTGTCCACTTGCATGCCCTAGATTAGAGGTGAGGCTGGAGGATATTCAAAGAGGTAAACGAAAAGGTTAAGTGGTAGGTCTCGGTGAAGCACCACTGAGCAGTGAAATGAGCAGGGCCAATCAGCGAACGGAAGGGGGGGGCACAAAAACGAGCGACAGAATTGAATATCCAGAGGCGTTGTATCAGAGAATAGGCTTTAAATAATGCTGCATAAATACACTGGTGTGCAAAACTTAAGGACGGAAGTAACTTTCACATGATATCTCACTGCTAGTTAACCTAGGTGGACCAAATTTGGCACATATATAGAAGTAAATGTTGCGGTACAGTGCAGAGAGTTACTAACAGAAAAGCGCAAAGGGGCGATTGGAAAAGACATTTTTCTGCAAATACCCTGTCTGAAGCGGTCGATAGGTGAGGCTTCTCCAACTCATGGTAGACATTCAAAAGAGAGGAGCTGGTTCTTGATGGGGTGTATGAACACTACGGACTGCAAAGTATGCTCTGCTACGTGTTCCCATACAGGCCGTAAGATTAGTTAAGAGTTCTTGAGGAGAAGTGACCGATTCCTTGGAGACCGCGATTGACAACTGCAGGACTATTGTTGGCACATGGTCATGTGCTACAATAGCTCATCTGAATCCACGCCACACGTGCTCCATAGAATTAGACTGGAGGAAATAAATGGCTTCACCAATTACCGAAAATCCTCACTTTTCAAGAGTTTTCCACCCAGGCTGCTCGATACTCTCGCACACTGCCCTCCATACGATTGAAGCTGAGGGCAAGGGAACCCTTGGAAAGATGCACATGACAGAAGGGTACAACACCACAATCACGTTGATCAGAAAGTGTAACGCGATCATGAGTTGGGGATCAGTACGCCCCGACAACTTTATGCCTCCCCACATCATGTCGCATGCACTACCAAAACAATCATGTTAAACGATGGTCCTGGGTAGATTACACGTTCCTATTTTCCCCATATGCAGGTAAGTCCAGAATCACTACTCACATTCAGTTTGCTCTTGACCGGGAAGAATACGCGATTTTTCAATTCGGTGGTCCATCTCCAATGTCTCGGCTCGTACCAAATGTCCCAGCCGAGGCGTGGATTTCAAATGAATACAGGTATTGTTGATCGATGAGAGAGATCACTCCTAGGCGGTCACTGCGCCACTGTCCGGACTGGGATTACATGCCTTACAATCCTGATAAATGTTTTTGCAACTGCAGCATGTGACTGACGTGGGTCCATTTTTGCCTGTAGCAAAACCTAGCAATCACCTGCTGCTGCGGTTGTTCGTGACCCACAACCTCCTCTTCTTGGGACAGCAGTGGCTGCGGTCCACATTGCTTCTCATGCACAAAAAACAATGCTGTGGTTGACACAAAACTCCTGGACACAACTTCCCTTTTTTCAGTTTCCCAATGATTCTTCCTCGCGTAAAGTCACCCTAGTGTTGTCTCTGAGACTTGATGTAATCAAGAACACCACTACACATTCCACAGTCACTTCTCCCTGCTTAGTTCACCCCTCTTGTCCTGCCCCACGATACCCATCGTTCTGGGTGGCCACCCCATTTAGGCTCCAGATTGAAGCCGGATGCAAGACATATGAGGCCACTTCGGTGCCCATGACTGTAGGGCTTCTAGCATTATGCCCGTACAGTTTCATCCAATTCCATCTAATTGTTAATAAGTTAGGACAATTTATCTATCTGGTCCTTAAGTTTTGCACACCAGTGTATGAAAAAATGATATATAGCTGATACAAGAGGAGTTGCTGGAACTCCTATAAAAATGGAGGCCGTAAAATTTTGAAATCAGTCCAACGGACGGTTGGCACTATGGTTAGAGAAGCTATATATGGTGGCAAATAAGTATGTAGCATGTATATTTGCAGGAAAAAGAGAGAGGACAAAACAGGTTCCTCGAAGGGGTGTTCATTAGATCTTACTTCAACGGTTTCCTTTTATCCCATAGAGTAAAAACAGAAACAGAATAAAAATATATTTGAAGATTGGCTATGTGTTGGAGTTCTTCCAAGAAAGTGTATTGGAATACGTATTAGTTTCAAAGCAATGATTTACTGAAGGCTGCGTGACAGTTGAAGGCCTGGCCCAACATCAATGGAAAGGCGGGCTCTTGCTTTGAAACTCCGATCGGTGTAAACACTTATTTCACATTGGATTAGGTGATATCATTATAATGAGATCTGTCCACTTGCATGCCCTAGATTAGAGGTGAGGCTGGAGGATATTCAAAGGTTAAATGAAAAGGTAAAGTGGTAGGTCACGGTGAAGCACCACTGAGCAGTGAAGATGTTGGTGACGTGCGTAGGATGAGAAGAAAATGAAAAATAAGGCGAGGATTGATGGCAAATTTGAAGGATGGTATCCGAAGGTAGAGGAATGAAACGAATCCAGAACGGAACTTAAAGTCACTCTCGATTCTTTTCAAGCTGACTGCCTCTCGAGCCAGTCGACTCAAAAAGCATACCGCACGTGCCTGAATAATCAACATTTTTCATTAAACCGAATGTGGCTTTATTCACTAATAAATCGTTTTCTTTCAGTGCGCCATTACTAATTGAGAGGATATCGCGTTTCTTGGGAATGTGATGATGGCAGCGTTCTTTTCAGAAAGTTGCCATTGCTAACGTATAAGGGTCGAGATGTGAGCAATCTTGTATTACCATTAACGCATTGACGACAGCGGACGACACTTACGTCTCGCATTTCCACTTAAGGGAGGCTTAGTTTGCTCGAATTATAACCCAATTTTCATTTTCAAACTGCCCAAGTAGATTGTAGGCTACAAAAGTACTATGCTCGCTAACATTCTTAAAATTTAGTGACTACTGGTGAAAGTTTGTAAAATAACTAGGTAGATAGGAACACGACTGTAGTGGTCAATGTCGTGAAGTTCACAAAACAATAGAATAGCGCCACCAGAGGCCGATTTTTTTGAGGATTTGAATTCTGAATGTTCTATCGCCCACTTCTAAACGGTACGCTCAATTAGGGTTTCGTTATGGTTCGGTCAAATTTTTAGGGATACCTGATTTCGTACCTTTTCATCTTTTATTTCAACTCGCGCTAATCTTCGATCCAGCAGTATAGAGTGCGTCAGTATTGATTGAGGGTAGAGGACCAGAGAGGGAAGTTATAGCGGCTAGAGCCTCGGCTTTCAGGAATCGTGCTTAGGAGCTTAATCCTCCAATCTGACTATTCCTTTCCTTAAAATAAAATGCTGCTATCTCTAAGCTTCATTTGATATTGTATTGATGAGTGATCTTGAAGCTCTTGTAATTATACTATTTATTGGTTAGCTTTCGGCAATAATGCCATCATCAGACCTTAAATTACAACAATTGCACGTGAACAACTAGATTACATTACAAAACACCATACATCGATACATCACCTGTCACCTGTCGTCCCGTTGATCATCGAATTGCTCGAGCGGGCGCCAGCAACGTGACGTCCCGAGGGATCCAGTCGGTAACCGCTCTGGTCCAACGGTCATCGCAAAATCGCATGACGTGTCCGGCCCACCTTATCTTCGATTCCTTGGCGAAAACGGCAGCGTCCCTGATCGTTGGCGTAGTTCGAACTCCGGATTCCCCTCTGCACTTGCGTGTATAGGGTTACTCCTAGCATCGTCCTCTCGACAGCGCGTTGGATAACGCTGACCGCATGCTCGTCCTGCCTGCGCAGAGTCCAAGTCTCTGAGGCAGGACAGCGGAATCGAAGAGCACGGAGCCGGATGTTCTTCGTCTTCTTCACTACTCCCTCGATGTTCTTGTAC